GAGTCGTCGTAGGGAAATCCGCGGGGGATTTAAATATCCCCCGCGGCATTTAAATAACGGAGGCTCTTCTTTTTAAGTAAGAATAAGAGCCTCCGGAAAAGGGCGCTTTTTCCGGAGGATCGGGGCCAGTCTAGACGCTCTTTTCCGGCTTTTTTAAAAGCCGGAAAAAAGCGGCGGACATTTTTATTTAAATGCCGCGGGGGATATTTAAATCCCCCGCGGATTTCCCTACGACGACTCGTGAAATTTACATGCCCCTTCCGGAAGAGGGGCCAGTGTAGACGTAGCCTATTAGAGGTGAACGTCCCAAAATGAAACCTAGCCAAGAGTAAGAAAAGAAAAGAAAAGAAAAGAAAAGAAAAGAAAAGAAAAGAAAAGAAAAGAAAAGAAAAATACAACTAAACTTAAAATATATTGTAAATTAATAATAGTAACAAACAAATTCAAAGAAGTACTAAAGTTAAAATCAAAATAACAACAGATATAATAAATAACACAGCAATGATAATAGGATATAAAATACAACAGGAAAAATTAAATTAAAGACACTTGCACAAATGAAAAATACATATACAGCAGTAAAATGAAGGAAGGCATATAAATGAAATTATATCTATGAAGAGGTAAAAAATAGAAATATTTATAAACAGACTTTTTAAGACTGTTTTAGGGTTTACCTTGTGGCCAGTTTGCTTTTAGGACACCAGGTTAACTCATAGGGTATGTCTACACTACAAAGTTAATACGAACTAACAGCCGTTAGTTCGAATTAACTTTAATAGGCATTACACAGGCAAACCGCAAGTTCGAACTTAATTTGAACTAGCAGAGCGCTTAATTCGAACTAGGTAAACCTCATTCTACGAGGACTAACGCCTAGTTTGAATAAAGTGGTTCGAATTAAGGGCTGTGTAGCCACTTAATTGGAACTTTTTTTTCATCTGGCTTTCAGATATGAAAGGCAGAGTGATTTAACACCTGTTTAGATTTGTCATCCATGTGACGAAATGAAAAGTATGCCGTTTGCAATAAACTTTGCATAAAATAGTTAATTTGCATTTAATTTTAATGGTTCAAAGAATGTCAGGCAAAATGGTCGGCCCTCACGCATGTTCACTTCTTCAAATCTGGCCCTCTTTGAAAAAAGTTTGGACACCCCTGCCCTACAATACGTACCAGTTCCGACTTACATACAAATTCAACTTAAGAACAAACCTACAGTCCATATCTTGTACGTAACCCGGGGACTGCCTGTACTTGGTTTGTACTCCTTATCCTCTTACCAATTTATATAACACTGAAATGTGTATAACATCAAGCTGGAAGTGTGTGTAATATTTTCTTTAAAGTTTTAACTTGTCATAAATCCTAAAAAACTCTCAATCGCTTGGATGCCCAAACATAGTAAATTTCAAGAAGCATTCCAGTGTCCACTGTCATCAGCTAGCTTTACTAAATGTTTTTGTTTATAGTTCTTCTCCTTAAGTGAACAACAGAGTTCACATTTAAGCTGCTATAACAATTAAGTGCCTGATTCTGCAAGGTGTTGAGTGCCCTCTATTTAGAGCTACTTTTGTACTTTACTGTCTTGAAATAAGCACTGCAGAAATAATTATTGAAGAAGTCTGATCACAACCCAATGTAACCTCATTTTGGGAAGCCTGTTGAAATTTGTCACAGCTTCTAAATATTCATTTTCACCAGTTTACATCTAAACTTGTCTAATTTAGTCATATCCACATTTCACAGCTTACAATGGCACAGCTGCACCAATGCAGCCATACCACTATAAGGGTCTCTCATGTAGCTGCTCTGTGCTGACAGGAGTGAGCTCTGCCATCAACATAATTAAGCCATCAACAATGAGCGAAGGTAGCTATGTCGCTGGAAAAAAAGGGTCTCCCATCAACATACTGCTGTGAACACTACCACTTATGCTGGAGAAAATGACCTCACTCGGGGGGTTCATACTCTTGAGCAACAAAAATTCTGCTAGTGTAAGCGTGGCCTTAAATTCTTCTCTGTATATGTATATTATTAAAAGACCTAATTAGCTTATGTTGTATGGATTATGGAGAAAAATGTTCTTAAATAAAATCTTTTGATACCTCCATTTTCTCTATGTGGTCAAATTAATTCTTGCCAGTATACATACACATATTATCCAAAATATCCTTTTCCCAATATCCCCAGAGGTTAACCCCCCCCGCCCAGTTTTGTTAAATAAAGAAAGTTTCTATTTTTGAACACACGTGTCCTTTATTTTTTACATCAGGAAAGGGGTCTAGGGAGGGGTAAGTGGAAAAAGGCGAGGGAGGAATGGGGCAGGAGCCTCCGATGGGGAGGACTGGGGTGGCTCTGCGGGCTCCTCGGGGTGGAAGCTTTCCTGCACGGCCTCCTGGATCCTGACAGTCCCCCGATTGACCTCTCCTCCACTCCAAACCCAGCCCTATCCCTGAGTCCCTCTGCCCCCAAACTCCCTCGCAGAGCCTGCACCCTGAACCCCCTCCTACACCACAACTCCCTGCCCCAGGCACAGCTCAGAGCCCCTCCCACACTCCAAACCCTTTAGCCCAAGACTAGAGCCTGCATCCCCCTTCCCTGAACCCCAACCCTCAGCCCCCAGCCTGATAAAACTGAGTGAAGATGAAGGACAGGGCACTCCAAGCCAGGACTGCTTTGCTGTCCCTCATTGAGTTAGACAAGCAAGCGGGGAACCCTGAGAACTGTCTGTCCGGGATGGGGGTCGGGTCCCTTTAAGCACAGCCCTCGCCTAGCCTGAGGCAGCAGCTCCACGCTCTAAGTCCTAACCTGATGCCCTGCCGGCACTGCTTCCGGCCATCCTTAACCCCGGTTCAGGGTCCACTCAATGTGGACATGCTAGTTCGAATTAGCACAATCTAATTCAAACTAGTTTTTAGGCCTAGAAGCACTAGTTTGAATTAGCTTAGTTCGAATTAACTAATTCGAATTAAGTTAGTTTGAATTAGTGCTGTAGTGTAGACATACCCATAGACTTCAGTGGAGTTGTCCTGATGATCAACTTACATATAGACACCAGGAAAACCTAGAGAGTGCAAAGGGGAAGACATGATATCAGCTTCCTTTCAGGAGGCCAGGTAAACCCCATAGAAGCTAAGGGCTTGACCTACT